AATAATACTTTGATCATAAGAATCGTTTCATTGTTCAGCACCGTAAATCCGAATTGGATAAATAAATATTTGCAAAAGATGAAATTTTCAATTTTTCTCTGCTTTCCTTTCAATCAGTCATGAAATTTAAAAAAAAAAAAAGCGAAAGAAAAAAGATAAATAAATAAATAACAAAGAAAAAAAATTTTTTTTGAGAAGAAAAAGGATAAATATGAACTATAAATTAATATAAAAATATCATCGAATGATAGTTAATACAAATAATCAAACCAATTTCGCTTTTTTCTTTCTTTTTTCATAAATATAAGTAACGTATATAAAACACACTGATATATTTTAATATAAACAAAAATAAAAAAATATTGCATGCATGCATGCATGCATGCACATACAAATGACATGCATGCAGTAAGTTCCTACTGAACAAATAAATCAATGCAATATGGTTAGCTTTGTTATTATTATTTGATGTTTGAAATAAGATGAATGAAATGATTTAATTTTTTATTACTATATAATTTCACTAAAAATTATCATCAAATAATTTAATTAATTCAAAAAAAAAAATAAAATAAACGAAATTTTATCAAAGAGAAAAATTCTGTAATAATATTAGATTTGAAATTTTTTTTTTCAAATAAATTTTTTCTTGTCTTTCGTTTTTCTTTTTCCACTCGTTCATTCATTTTCAAAATTAAAAGCAATACAGTACATTTTTAAGCGTACAATAAAACAATGAAATATTTAAAGTATGTAAATTCCTTTATTTTTTTTTTTTTTTTTTTAGAAAAAAACGGAATTATTTTTTGTGTTGAAATTTTTATTTATTTTAAATTAGAAAATTTCAATTTCAATCAACGAAATTTGTTATGCACATACATACCCGTTTTCTTTTTTTCTATTGTAATTTAAAAATGCATCCATTTTACCGACTACATTAATATTTTAAAATTGTTTGCATATGTCTTTAAATGATTTGAAAAATTATTCCAATATCATTCGTTTAATGATACAAACATAAATCTCATCTTCATTCTTATCTTCTCTCCCTCTCTCTCTCTCTCTCCTCTCTGTCTGTCTCTCCCTCTCTTGAAAAATCAGAAAAACTCATTGAAAAACTAAAATTCCAAGAAACGATATTAGTAATTCTAAAAATTAATATTATTAGTAATAACACTAAATAATAATAATAATAGCATTTATTAATAACAGAATAATAATACTAATAAAATGATGATAAAAATTATAGTAATAATAGTAATAATAAACAATAATAATAGTAGTAAATTATATTACTAATATTAATATTAATAATAAATAATAACAATGAAAATATTAATTCAATAATAATATTTATAATATTAACAACGCAAAATAAACTATCCATGCTGTAAGCATTTATTAATTTCAGTATTTCTTTAGCTCATATTTAATCTACCAAAATTAGAAATAGTAATAAGAATTATTTTAATAGTAATATAATATCCGTCAAACTGCTAGCAATGTCAATAAATGAATTATTTCAGGAAAAAAAATTAAATTAAGTAAACTAAATAGTTAAACAAGCAGACTAAAACTAATCTTAGCGACTTTAATCTTTATTCTTTTCATTTCTTTTTGTTAACTTATCCATTTATATTTATTCATTTATTTATTAATTCCTCAATTTCATTCATTTTTTAATTCATTCAATTCATCCATTCAATTTTAATTCATTCAGTAAAATGGAATATTTGGCTAAGATAAATTTATTGCTTAATTTATTTTCATTTCTTTCTTTTCTCCTTTTCTTTTTGTAAACTTATTTATTTATATTTTTCGATTTATTCATTCATTTTTCAAATTCATTCATTCCTGAATTCATTTAATTGTTCAATTAAGGTAGAATATTTGCCTCAGATAAATTCATTGCTTAATCCATTCATTCCTTAATTCATCAATTCCATCATTCGTTTCTTAATTTATTAATTTCTTAAATCATTAATTCTTTCATTCATTTCTAAATTCGTTATTTTCTTAATTCATTTAATTAATTGGCTAAGGTAGAATATTTGCCACAGGTAAATTCAATCATTCCTTATTATAGCTAATGATAGAATGAGGAAAGTGAATGATGTGTTTCTCACGAGCCACCACCGTATGCTTATTAACTTTTTAAAATATTTGAGAGAAGTAGCAATCATGAAAAATTGAAATAGAATTTATTTGTGTGAATTTTTTTTTTATTTTAAATATTTATTACCTAATATAATTTTTCATTTTTAATTGTTTTCATTTTTTTTTTTTTTTTTTTTTTTTTTAGAATTTAAAAACTTTATTCCAGGAAATAAATTAATCAATCAATATTCTTTAATTTTTATTAATCATTGCTTCAATAAATATTTTGTATGTTTTTAAAATAAAATCAATGCACAGTGATTTTTATTGTTGATTGATAAGTTATAAAATAGAAAAGTGATAATTTAGGTAGAAAATAGGTAAAATTGCTATTCAAATTTATTCCTATAATCGATATTATTGTAAATGTATTAAAAAATCATCAATTTATCGTACAATTTGTGTTCAATTTAAGTTTTTTTTTTTCAAATTTAAAAAATTTTACATTATTCTTAGATATATAACTATTACTTTACCTAATGAACTTTTTAATATTTACAGTTCAGTTTGCTCATTGATAGCACAAAAATTATATTTTAAAAATTCATGGCAAAATATTTTTCGAAATTTATTGATTACTTCTGGATAATTCTGAAAAAATATTTAATAATATCACTATCTTTTCTCATTATTTTTTAAAGCTATTTTTATCGATGTAATTAAAACATTTTTTTTAGCTGTTTTAGAAGATTCAAGAACATTAATTAATAGAAAAATTAATTGCATTAAGATTTTAAAATAAAAAAAAAAAAATTGTTAATTTTAGTGAAATGTGTTCGATAAAAGAAATTGAAATATCAAAATCAAAGAACTGAAAACTTCTAAATGAAATACAACAAACTTAATCAAACTTATCAGTGAAAAGAGTTCATAAAAATGAATACTTAAAGGTGTTGTTTCTATTGTTTGATTAATTAATTCATCTTGGAATGTATTATTCAACTGAAATTGATTTTGAATAAGTTTAATTTCAAAAAATAATAAAAATGAAAAAATTACAATTCACACACATACAAAAATGAAAAAAAAAAAAAAAAAAAAGGAAGACGAAGTAAAAGAAAGAGAAAACAATTAGTTAATGAAATAGCAAATTTAACATTTTTATTGCAAGAAATAAAAGAAAATAAAAATGTAAAAGTAACGAAATGAAAAGATGTGCCATTTTTTTTATTTTTTATTTTTTTTTTTTTTTTTGTTTTGATTATTATCTGATTAAAAAATATGAATGAATGTAGAAAAGAATGAAAATGATAATTTGTAAAATTTATATTTATATGCCATAAAAATTAAACAATAAATAATATACCTAAATAGGTAGATAGGCACTTGCTAATTTAGGATACTGAACGAAAGAGAGAGGAAAAATGAAATGAAAAAAAAAAAAGAAACGAAATAAAAAATAGAAAAGAAATTGAAATTAAAAAAAAAAAAAAAACAAAGAAACCCGTTTTGTATGAAAACAACAAACATTTACGGTTTAAACCCAAGAAAAAAAGAAAATGAAAAATTGAATTAAACAGAAAATATTATTGAAAAATTTCACACATAATGAAGAAAAAAAAAAATTTGTGGGAATTCTTGGTACAATAACAAAAATAAAAAATTAAATTTTTTGTAGCAATAATTATGATTGAATTTAATTAGCATACTTTTCAAATTTTAATTTGCATATTTTTCAAACAAACTTCTTTTTTTGTTCTTTCAGTTATTCTGTAATTTTTAAAATTAAAGAAAAGGAAAAGGAAAAAATGAAGCAAAACTAAGAGAAGAGAAAATAAAAATATGCAAAAATTTTATATTTAATTATGAATGTTGCTGCTGTTGTGATTGCATATATAAAATTAAAAAAAAAAATCGTTTTTTAAATAATTAAAGTTTTAATAAATACTTAACAAATAAACGATTAGCTAAGACATACCAAAAAAAAAGTTCTTTTTTTTTCGTTAAAAATTAAAATTATTACTATTTTCATTTCTCTATTTCTATTTTATCCATACATAGAAATTATTTCTTTAATTAGAAAAAAAACGAAAAATTTAAAGAAATTAAAAATTAAATGAAGAAATTTTTTTTTTAAAAAAAAAAAAATAAGAATTTTTGCTGTGAAAAGTTAGAAAAAATTTGAAAAGGAAAAAAAAAGTTTGATAAAGATAATTTAAAAAAAAAAAAAAAAACTTTTCTTTTTTTTTGGTTAAAACAACAAAACAAAAGAAAAAAGTAAATAAACAAATAATATTTGGGGTGAAAAAAGAGCAACCGAAAATTACTAAAGCACCGCACATTTTCCACTGAATGAACAATCATTGATAGTAGTGCTACTGTGATAACGATTACAACTTTTCATCACATGGATATCATGATGATAATTTATAGTGATAATGACAATGATAATAGTAATTGATAGTGATAATAGTAATAATGACAGTAATAATAACAACATTCACAATTATTAAAGTAACGATTAGGTATTATCATATAAGCGAAAAAAAATAGAATAATGAAAGAAAAAGAAAGAGAAAGCGAGAGAGAGAGAGACGAGAAGAGAAGAGAGAAAGAAATAAAGGAATTAATTTTAATTTGAGATTATTATTTTTTTTTTTTCCTAATAACAATTTAGAATCTCTTTTTTTGTTGTTAAAAATATAATCATTTGCTTTAATAATTTCTTTCATTCAATTCTAGAATTTATTTCCCAAAATCTTTTTTTTTTTTCCGTAAAAATTTTCATAGAAAAATTTTTGAATTAAAAAATAAAACTTTTTTTTTTCATTTTTTGAAAGAAATGAAAATAGAAATAATAATACATATTAATATATACAATATATAAATAATAAAAATAATAATTAATACAATGAATTTTCCCAGGATTTATCGCTACTTTTACTCCTTTTACTATCATTTGGCGAATTTTCATCATCACAATCAATACTGCTATGATTGTTATTACTATTATTATTATTGTTGTTGTTGTTATTGCTATTGTTATTGTTGTTATTGTTTGTTGTAATCGCTATCATCCTTTCGTTAGGTGTTATTGTTGCACCTGTTGTTGTTGTTGTTGTTGTTGGTGTTATCGCTGATGGTGAAATTACCACAGGTGTAATAGGACTTGTTGCTGCAGATTTTGGTGTTCGCCATTGTGATATAGGTCCTAAAAAAAATTTAAGTTATAATTCAATTTTTTCTTCCAATTTAAAAAAAAAAAAAAAAAAACTTTGTTTATTTAATTAAAACAAAATACAAAATCAACTAATTAAATAACATAAAAAGTATTTTCCTTTCTTTTTTTTGCTTTTTTTAATATGTTATTCTTTTTTCACACCTAATTATAAGTTTATCAACTTTTGAAATTTAGCTTATCACTTCATTTTTCTTTTAAATTTTATTACTGATATTTAATTGTTGTTGTTATCGTATCATACAACGAAGTTATGTATTATTTTATCATTTACTCATTTTTGACAATTAATTAATTAGCTTGATTGTTGACTAATTTCTTTTCATACTCTTTGATAGTTTTCCTTCTAAGCCTTTAAAATATTATTTGTTATTTGTCAAATAAAAAAAGATGAAACAATGAAAAACAAAATAAAACAAAGCAAAACAAAGTTATGCTATTAACAACAAATCATTAATAAGCTATGGAAGAAATAATAATAATATAAAATACAAATTTCTTCCCTAACAATAATATAATACCAAATAGTACCAAAATTTTTATTATTAAATATTTCTAATATTAAATTTTTTAAATTTTGTCAACAAAAATTATTGTGAAATTTATCACTTACTAATGCTTCGGCCAGTTTAATGTTTTTTAAACTAAAAAATTTTTTAATTTTACAGTTCTAGTAACTACATGTAATTTAGAAATTAATAATAACTGTAGATAATAGATAAAGAAAAAGCAAATTTTAAATTTAAAATATTATTTCAAAAAGTCATTTCCAATTTAATTAATAGCATTTTTGCTATGAGAAGTATAATATCCGCTTTATTTGCAAAGTGACTAATATATAGATAATAATATTAATTAATATTTATCAGTGCTGACATGATAAAGAGAAAGAAAGAAAGAAAAAAAAAAAAAGGATGAAATGGGTAAAAAGTGGAAAAATAAAATGAGAAGGAATTTATTATGACAATATTATTTCAAATATTTCAATTTCAATCCTTTGGTTTTACATCCTTTTCATTTATCACTTTATCAAAGTAAACAAAAAATTTATCAAATATCTACGTACTTTTATTACAGTCAAACTAGATGAAATCAAAATTTATTACTGTTAATTATTATTGTTATTATTATTAATATTATTATTATTATTACTACCATTGTTATTATTTTTGTCAATTATTTTTATTGGATAATATCATTTCTCTCTCATTAATTATTCCATCATTATCACTATTATCATTCATTATATCATTACTAAAATGTTTGACATTCTTTTCATTTGGCATTAATTACCATCATTTTCATAATTCTAAATAGCATTTAAAATGAAATAATGCATAATATTCTTATTGAAGTAATAAATAATAGTGTATGTATGTATGTGTGTATGTGTGCATGTGTGCATGTGTGTATGACAAAGTGATAAAAAGACATACAGAAAGTATGGTGACACATGCTATCATGATTATGCTTTCAAGGACAGAAATAATTTGTGAGCTAATCAAGAGGTAAATCAACCGAAACCACTTCTCCTCTCGTCTTTCTCTTTTTTACTCCGAAAAATCTTACTAATCAAATCTGATTAATAACAAAGAGGAGAGAGAGAGAGAAAGAAAAAGGGAGAGAGAGAGATAATAATATAGATGTAATAATCTGTCATTCTTCAAATCATCATCGTCATCATTGTCATCATCATCATCGTCATCATCATTCAACCCCGACTAAACTAATACACAAATGGAATGAAAAGAAAGATTAAAATATGAAATAATATTTTTCATTTTACAAAAATTCGTTCTGATAATTTTATTATTATTAATATTTTAAAATTATTATTTAATTCAAAATTATTACTTAAATAAATTAATGTAAAAACAAAAACATCTAAATGAATGGAAAGATGTTTAATTCTTGTGTATCTCACGTGTACATTGTCTCAATTTTAGAAATTCTTTCTAATAATTTTATCATTATTAACATTTAAGTTGAAAATTATTAATTAATTAGATTAATACTAAAAAAAAAAAAGTCTAATCAATGGATATATGTCTAACTCACGTGTTATTACCTAAACAGATAACTTTTTATGATGAAAAAAAAAGAAGAAATAACAAGTTCCTCTTTATAAAATATCATGAAATATAAATTATTTATTTTATAGTTTCTTTTTTCTCCTCTTTTTCTCTTTCTCTGTCCCTTTCTTTTCCACTTGTATTAATTATTTAAATAATAAATGATAGAAATGTCATGGAGAGAAATAAGAGCAATATGAAGATAATATATTTATTACACTGGTATCGTAATAATAATGATAATTGTAATGATAATCGTTGATAACAGAAGTGTAGTAGTAATACAGATTGATAAGATTGATAATGAATTAGTTCATCATTGTTATCATCAGTAATATCATAGTTGTATAACATTATATGTTCTGTTATGTACTATATTTACAATTTTGTTTACATTTGATTCATTTGATTATTAAACGAGGAAATAGAAACGTTTGACCTGAATTAATTGAAATTATTAATAACCTTATATGTATGTACACATACACAACATACATGCACAGACACATACATACATACACATTCTCTTTATCATTTAATTATCACATCATTTACTCATCCATCTGTTAACACTGATAACCCAATTATAGTGATAACAATAAACGATAGTAATATATATTTTTGATTTTATATTATAATGTAATAAGATTCTCAAAATTTATTGTAAATTTTAAAATTTCATTTTTTAGGAATGGAAACAACAAAAAAAAAAAAAATAATAAGTGAATAGAGAAAAGAAATAAAAAAAAATTCATTGATAACATTGATTAACCTAATTAAAACGATAACAATAAAGTAAATTTAGAATTAATTAAAATTAATTTCTTTCATCTTTTTTTAAATTCGTCTTTAACTTTTATCGTATTTTCCCTTCATTTTTACTTCGCGTTTGTTACAGTTAAATGAAATTAAAAATTATATTTAAAATTAATAATTATATAAACAAAAATCTTTTTTATGCTTTTGTATTAATTATAATCTATTTTAACCATTATTACCAATTGTTTTTTCTCAGTTTTTTTTTTTAGATTTAAGGAAAATTTTTGAAATGCATAAAACTATTAATTTCATTTTTTTTTCTTTTTTATCTTTTTTAAATCCCTCATTTGAATTATTTCATTTATTGTTCCCTATTTGTCATTCAATATGCTTTTTCTTTTTTTTTTTTGGCTTTTGAAAACAAAAGAAGGAAAAACTTTTTTTTTTTAAAAAAAAAACAGTAATTATGATAAAAAACTTCCTTGTACTTCCTTTCTATCTTTTCATCATTTTTTTTTTTTTTCTTTTTATCAGTTAATTTAAACATATTGCTATATTAACAGTGATAGGCTGTACCGTGGTGCGAGGATGCTAAATATGTGAAATTTTGTTGACATTAGCGATTTAATATCAATGCAAATTATTATGTAACAAAAATCTTTCACTTATATATAATATTTTTTTTTTTATTATCAATGTTTTTCTCAAAAAAAGAAATTTTTTTCTTCTCATTTTCTTGCATAAATATCATATTTCAAGTACAATTATGATAAGAAACAAAAAGAAAAAAATAAAGCAAAATATTTAATTTTTTACTCACTAAAATTTTTAATGTAATAATCATTGCTAAGAGAACAAAGAGAATAGTTATTTAATTATACAAATTGTTGAAAAAAAATTTAAATTATCAATTAATTAAATAACACGCATATTTTCCTTTACTTCTAATAATTTATACTTATACTTTTTGTAATGTATTTATAATTATTTTTTATATTTTAATCACTTCTAATTTACTGTAATTTTAATAATCATTCATGTGTAGTACCAATTTGATGCTATAAATTGATTTAAAATCTTATAAAATTATACATTGATAAAATTTTCCCGAAATTATCCAAACGAAACATATATAATATAAAACTTAAATTATTAAGTGTTAATGAGATTTAATTTCTATCCTTAATAATACTAATAGGCAATTAATGCCACTCTTAAAACTGTTATATTCAAATATTTAGTGTAAATTTTAGAATACAAAATTTATAACATTGTTAGATATCATTACTAATGATAAATATTTATATTTTAAAAAAATATTAAAAAAATCATATTCGAAAAAAATAATACAGTGAAAATTAATGTTTTTATAACAAAAAAAAAAAAAAGAAAAAAAATTTACTCTTACAATAAGGTGCTGCTGTTTTTTCGTAAATTTAAAAAAGAAAATTATCAAAATTATTTTGTTGCAAATAAATTTGTTAAAATTAATTTTTCCACAAAAATTTTTTTTGTTGAAAAAGAATATAAAAAAGAAAAATGAAGAGAAAAAGCTAACCATTTGTTAACAATGTATTATTAGATTGTGTTGTTGATAAATGAGTTGAATGTATTGGATGATTTGTTGTTGATATTCCAGGCATTATTGCACCCATAAACATTGGATTAAATAGCATTGGTGATCGAATATGGCCTGCTTGTGCCATCATTGTTAATAATTCTGGCCTAGGAAATGGCATACGAATAGCCATTGCCATAGCTAATTGTTGTTGTTGATGATGATGATGATGTTGTTGATGATGATGTTGATGATGTTGATGTTGCTGTTGTTGTTGTTGCCATGGATGAAATTGTAAAAAATGATGCGGTATTTGACCATTAATAGCAGTAATAGTAGAAGCATTTGGAGGTAACAATGATGATGTTAATGGTAATGATTGTGATATTGATGATGATGATAATGTTGTTGATGATGATGATGATGATGGTATTGTTTGATTAATATTAATCATTGTTGAAGCGATATCAGATTGTACCATCGATTCTTGATCATCATTCCATGATTTTCTTTCAACTGATGTTGATGCACGTTCATAATCATCTTTATTACTACCATATCCGATACAACAATTATTACTACTATTTGCTTCACCTGTATTACTTGATAATGTTTCTGCAATAGACCAAATTTTTGTTTTCCTTGGTGTTGTTACTGTAGTACTAGTTGTTGTTGTTGTTGGTGTTATTGTTGTTGTTGTTGCTGATGATGATGATGATGATGATAATCGTGGTAAATTAATATTTGCTTCAGAACATGATGATTGTAATGGTGGAGTGATTGATTTTGATTGTATATCACCGGATGCATCTGAAAAAAAAACATACTTTTTAAAAATTAAATGTAATAAATATTTAATATAGTAATAATAATTAATAATTGTGATAGTAATAATAATTATTTAATTTGAAAAAATACATTTTGTTGATGTAATAATAAATAATAATACCAATAGTTATAATAATAAATATCTAATATAAAATATATATTTGTAGATGTAATGAAGAATAATATATAATAATACTAACACTACTAATAATAAAATGTCTAATTTAAAATATATGTTTTTTGATGTTTATTTGTTTTACATATTTATAATGAGTAGAAATTTTTCATTAAACATAAGAAAAAAACGTTTAATTAAATGATAATGAAAGTAATATCCGTTTTAAAATATATGTTTATTATTATTTTCTTTTTTTTTTTTTGGATGTTTTTATGTATTTATTAATAATTGGTAATGTTTAAAATGAATGAAAATTTTTCACTAAGCATAAAAAATTTTTAATTTAGTAATGATAACAAACAATATTTGAATTGTATGTTTATTTATTTACTTATTTAATTATTTTTTATTGTATAATAATAATAATTAATAATTGATAGCGTTTAAAATAAATTGAAATTTTTCATCACTTTAACATTTTTTTTTTAATTTACCGTGTTCACTGGTATCATTGATAACAACAGAGATATCACCATCAGATGCACTGCTACATGGACGATCAGAATGATTTTGCTCGGATGATGCATCAATATCACCTAAATCATCATCGTCATCATCACCTGGTCGATTACGCGGTGACCATGTCATCTTATTTTCCTTCTTTAATCGTCGACGAGCATTTGCAAACCATGTTGACACCTAAATTTATAATTTATTTCATTTATATTTTTTGCTTTCTTTACCAAAATTATTGTTTAATTAATAATTTGATTGATTAATTAATTAATACATCTAATTTTTTATTATTTATTTTTTCAAATTATTATTCATTCATATTCACTTGCATTATTTGATTCATTTAATTTTTTCATTATTTACTCAGTTAGTTGTTCAATTACTCAAATATTACATTCCACTCTTTTCATTTATTCACTCAATCAAATGTAAATATTTTGCTGATCATTGATCATAAAATAATAAAATTATTTTTGAAAACTTTTTGTTGTAATTCAAAAAAATTTGTCATAAAAACAAATGTGCAATTCTATTCATTTCAAAAAATTTACATGCATATAAATGTATGAATCAATTGAAAATCGTGCACTTATCAAAAAATAAATGTTTTTAAACGAAAACATTAGAAAGTTAAAATTTGAACTGATTAGATACGATTAAATGATAAAGGACAAATCACTGATCATTTTCATTTGACAATGTTGTTCTCAGCAAAACAAAATGATGTAATTTTTACACATTAACCTTTTGAAAAGCCAGAAAAAACGAAGAAAAATAAGTGTAATAGTCAAATTGTAACTAAATTTTTACAAGTTAAAAAATTGTAAAAATTTAAAATTTTCAAATATAATAAATATTTTTTTTATTTACATTAAAATAATAGTATTCAACTGAAAAGGATGAATTCCTAATGATAACGATAACAATAGCAATAATAATGATAAATATTCATAACATTCATAATAATAATAATAACTAATTGAAATTAAATACTCAAAAGGAAAGTTTAAGTTAGTGCAAAAAAGAAATTTCTGAATTATTGATAATTTTTCTTTTTTTTTTGTTGTTGTTATCATCGAAAATAAAATATTTTAAACTTATCTTTCATCAACTTAAAACATTTCAGTTTTTTTTTTTTTTCCAATTTCACTAACAAAAATGATTAATTTTAGTTGTCATTTTGTTTTTGAATGAAATTGAAATCAATTTGAAAATTTTATTAAATTTCATTCATTTATTATTTTGTTAAAAAATTTAAATATCAATAAATTGGAAGGAAGAGAGGGAGAGAGAGAGAGAGAGAGAGAAGAGCAAAAGAAAGATCATTTTAGAGATGAATTATTATTGAATATTATTAGTGACGACATATCATATTTTATGAGAAATGTACACCTGTCAAAACTATCTAAAATGAGAAAAGCTTATTAAGAAATAAGCTAAGGTATAAAATTTATTTCAGAATTAAAATTTGATCGAAATTTGATAACGATGAATAAAATCTGTTTGCTTATCTATCAATCATATTATTCAATAATAAAACAATTTGTTTTTAAAGTTTGTAAATGAATAAATATTTTTGCAAATTTAAATTATAAAAACAAAAAAAAAAAAAATATTATAGCCTAAATTTCTATTTTTTTTAAAAAAAAATGAAGCTTTTAATTAAGTTAGCATAGTATTTAAAAATTTTTTTTGAAATGAATTAATATTAATAAAATTAAAATATCTTTTAAGAAATCTTATAATCAAAAAAAAAAAAAAAAGGAATTGAATTTGTTTAAATCAATTTTTATTAATTGATTTAATTCAGACTGTAAGGTTACAAAAACAATTACAAAAATATGAATGATAAAAAATTTTATAAACAACTTTTTTCCATCATTTCAAATTATTTTTCTATCTTAATTATTTATTGTGATAAAGCAAAGATTAAAATTTAAAATTATAATTATTTGATTTTTATCACTTTTTGCACTTTTTTTTTTTTTTTTTTTTTTGAGGAAAAAACTGTTAAGTAAAAAAAAAAAAAAAAACGGAAAAAAATGAAATAAAATTTTAAGAATGTTATCAGGAAAATGATAATCCTTTTACCGGATATTATTTCTTCCCTCTATCATTTCCCATTTTTAAATGAATCATACATGCATTATACAATCATTTTCCATTCATTACGATTACTCATGAATGACGCAATTAATGATTTCATTGTTGTCATATATAAGCTGTAAAAATTTTTTAAATATGCCATACATATGCTAATAATTATTATTATTAGCAGTATTATAATAAAGCTTATTTAGCTAGTCTTTCATTAACATTAAAACCGGATTAAAACCGGATTGATAAGGCGGAAAAAGAAAACAAAAACCGTGCAAAAAAGATTAAAAATATTAAGTATGTTTATTCAAGCTAATCATGAGTTCAATTTATTTATGCAAAGAAAAAAGTTGTATTAATGATAACTGAAATTTCTTTATGTAATAATTTGAATTTATCAATAAAGATATGCAAATATTATATTACTGTAATCGAAAACAGAAAAAAAAACAATTATTAAATATTAAATTAATAAAAATAATCAATTATTTTTTTTTTTTTTATTATAAAGCTATAATGAAAACAAATAAAAATCAGATGTTTTAATTCAATTAAAAATAATTGAAGATAAAATTAGAAAAAAAGAAATGGAAGATATTAAGTATTGCAGTAGTAATAATAAACCAAAAGTTTAAAAATTAGCGTAGATTTAAATTTTAAAATTAAAAATCTAACAATGAATGCATAAATTATTCTGAAATGAATCAAATAATTAACACTTTAGACTATAAACATATATCAAAGTATCATTTGTCTTTTTATTTTTTGTTTTTTTTTTTTTTTTTTTTTTATTCCCATAAGACATATTTAATTTTTAAAAAAAAAATCAATTGGCATAAGTATTTCAAAAAAAAAAAAAAACCAAAACTGAGATCATTTAAAAAAAAAAAAAAATGAAAAAATGAAGTACAAAGCAATAAAATCTTTTTAATCCATCTCATTATCAAAAGAGAGAGAAAGGGAGAGAAAGAGAACGAAAGAAAGAAAGAAAGAGAGAGTGAAAAAAAAAACGAATAAAATGTATTCATTCTGTATTTGAACACATTTACTAATTGATGTTGAAAAAATAAAAAAATTAAAAACATATGTTAAAAATTATTTCTAATATTAACAATAATAATATTATTTTTTATTTTAAATTTTAAAATATACCATTTGTCTTTTATTTTATCATTTAATTAAAAACTTTAATGAAAATTTAAAATAACATTACTACTTGCTAAAATAACAAATAGTACCATTGATACTAATAAAATCAGTAATTTTTTAGAAAGGAAAAACAGTGTAAAAAAAAATAATAACATTTCTGTAATAATTTTTTTTTTTTTTTTTTTTTGTAGATAAAAGTAGTAAATTGAAAGAGTCATTTTTAAAGGAAATGAAAACCGAATATTATATTATTTATTAATAAAATTTGCAAGAAAAAAAGCGAATAAAATTTACAACTTTTGAAGAAAACAAAATATATAACCATTTACAATTAAAAATTTAAATTCATTCAAAAAAAAATAAATAAATAAAAATAAATTCTTTTTTATAATTATGAAGGAGGAGCTGACTGATTACTACTTTGTGAATATTATTAATATTATTATTTTGTTTATTATTACTATTATTACATGTATTGGTGTTAGTATAACTATCATTACTGCTATTATTATCATTACTATTGTCATTATTATCATTATCATTATTATTGTTGTTATTATTATTATTTCTTACTGAATATTTAATTCTTACTAAATATTATATTCGAATTAGTTTTTTTTTTTTCTTCTTTCTTGCATCAGATAATTCTTTTTAAACAAAATGGTATAAATAATTAAATCGAATAATGTGATTATTTTCTAGTTTAAATTCATATTTTATCTATAAATGAAATTTGTAAAGTACATTTTATTAATTAACATTTTCTGCTACCGTAACACTATTCAATAAAGAAATAAATAAGAAAAAAAGAGAAGAAAATTGTTAGAAAATTAAATGATAATTCATTTCATATTAAATTAATAACAAATATCCTTTTTCTACTAATTCTTTCTTTCTTTCATTTTATTTTATTTTTTTTTTATTTATTATTTTTGTTGACCCCATCATACACTTTTCCATTCTTTTCTCGTCATCTTATCCATTCCGGTTAGTTGGTTAATTATGATCTTTCTTGTTTGCAAAAAATAAAAAAATGCAATTACTTCATCTATTCTCTTTCATACTCTCTCTCTCCCTCCCTCTCTCTCTCTCTTTCTTTCTTTCCTCCACCTGCTAAATTCGCTTTTATGTTACCGCTAATTTAACAATGTATATGGAATTTTCATCTCATTACTTTTGTCATTTCCCTTTTTTCCTGTTTTTTTTTTTGCAGTTTATAAAAATTTATATTATTTTACAATTACCACTTAATTACCACTTTTAAAATATTTATTACATTATATTACCATATTATTTGATATTATAAAGCTAACAAATATATTAAATTATTGATTCAAAATTTTCAAATAAGTAAATGTCTTTTTTTCTTCCTTCTTTTTCTTTTTCTCTCTCGCTCTTGCTCTCTCTCTCTCCTTCTCCTTCTTTCTTTTTTGCAATATTTTATTTATTTTAATTAGAATTAAAGGAAAATGTAAACAAAAATAATGGAAATAGTGTATTTCCACAAAATGATCGATTACAATGTAATATTGAATTATAACGATGTCAACCGATTCATTATGATAGTGTGCATGTGTGTGTGTGTGTGTATGTCTATGTATGTGCGTGCATGTGTGTGTGTGTGTGTGTGTATGTATGTGTGTGTTTATGTGGTACCATCAAAAATTTCTTGACATTATGATGGATTGAAAAGAATTGAGAAAGAAAAAGATACCGCAACTACAATTAATGTCATTAATAGGTAACAAGTGATGACACTTTAATCATCAAATAACACTCAATGAAAAACTCTGATTAAATTGGATAAAATGTTAAAAGTAATTATCCTTTGATATAATCTGTAAAAATCTGTAATATAATCTATTAAAAAAAAAAACAGACAAACAAACAAATTTATAATAATAAAAAAAAGATTTAAGTAAACCATAATTAGTTTAAAAGAAAGAAAGAAAGATACTATTTAATAGTAGTGAAAAATTTTTGAATAAAATATTTAAAATATAAAAATTATTTGGCGCAGAAAAATTTTTAAAAAAAATTTGATTTTTTTTTTTTTTAATAGAAAAATATAAATTTTATGGTTGCATATAATATTTTGCATATTGCGGTGGAATTTTTAAAAAATTAATTGTCAAAGTATTAGATGGATGAAAAAAATAAGGAAATTAGTTTGTTCTTTATATTATGTTCAAGAATTATAGACATTGAAATTTTTAAAATTAATTACTAAAGTATTTTAAAATTAATATTACAATTATATCTGTAGTTATTTCTGGTATTACTATAATTACTAACAAATAACAATAATAATAAGTAAGTAATAAATAATAATAAATGAATCAATAAATATATAAATAATAATTAATGAACAAACAAATAAAATTCATTTAATTAAAACGATTCATTAAAGAATAAAAATTACTTTCCTCTTTTTTTTTTGCTAACTTTCTCTCTCTCTCTCTCCCTCCTAATTTTTCCCTGTTTAAACGATTTATCCTACTAATACCTAAGAATAAAAAAACACTTGATTTTGATTGATTAAATGATTCTTTAAGTAGTATCACTTCAGGAAGTAATCCAATCAAGACGAATATATTACAAAGAGTGACCGCTTTGCCTTTTTTTTTTTTGCTTTTTGTTTTGCTTTTGCTTTGTTTGTTTATTTGTTTCACTAATCTTTTCTGCTACAATAAATACTCATTTAAGGTATTAGTAGTACTACTACTTATTAATGAAATTAATAATTAAATAGCATAAGCAGCAGTTAGAATAAGAAAGTGAATGAGTAAAGAGGAAAAAAGTGAAGGTCAATTTCATTTTTTTTTTTTTAAATTTATATAGCCAATAAACGATTTTTAAATGTAAGTTATTTTCGTATAAAATCAAAAAAAAAAATTCAAATTTTTTTAAAAAAAAAGTTAAATTCATTGTAACAATTATATAATAATAATAATTTTAATCAATTGTTTTTATCTAATCTAACATATTCTGAGAGTTTTTTTTTTTTTTTTTTTTTTTTTTTTCATTAAACAAGTTTTTCTTTTATTAAAATTTCATTTAATACAAAAATGGAAATATTTTAAATTGTTATGAAATGAAACTAAATGATATCATTTCAAATTCATATACTAATTTTTTTTTTTTTTTTAATGGAAGGAAAAATTTATTTATCAATTTTTATTAATGAAAAAAAGAAATATAATCCATAATCCATAATTCATGTAAGAAAAAAAAGAAAATTTTACCAAACTCTTAAAATTTCAACTTTTCTAACTATCAATTGTTTATAATTAGTAAAGAATAAAAAAAAATTTGTTTAAAATGAATAAAATTTCTGAACGAAATTTAAAAGAAAAAATTAGTTTATCATTTCTAATAAACAATTTTTCCGGAAAATGTCGCTCACTCTCCCTTTTTCTCTCTCTCTCTCTCTTTCATTTTGCTTCTAATTTCTTATTTCTTTCATTTCAATCTATTTCAATTCATACTTATCTTCTTCCTCCTATCTTTCTCTCTTTTCTTTCCCTCCCTCTCTCTCTCTCTCTCTCTCTCTCTTGCTCATTATGAATTTTTTGTTGTTACCAACAAATTAAATGAGCAAAAGACGAAAAAGTTGCTAATAGATATGGAAATACTTTGATAATAATCTTTGACCTATTGTCAATTAATAAATTTGCTAATTAATTCTCTCAGAAGGGAAAGAAAATTAGAAACTAAAATAACCAATGAAATTAATATAAACATTTATTCAAATTAATCAAACTAATTAATTTTTTTTTTTTTTTTTTTTGCAAAAAATTTTGCTTTATTTTTTGTTGGTGAAATTTGCAGATAAAATGTTTTCAATTCTTAAAGTATCATCTGAATTATAATGAATGAATGGTAAATTAATTTTCATTTTAATTTCTAATTTCCTTTAAATTTTTTGAAAATATTTTGGTTCAATCAAATAATATTTGATAAAATTTTTTTTAGCAAAGAAAATGAATTTGCAATGAAGCAGGAAAAATTCATAATAATATTTATTATTTTTTTTTTTTTTTTTTTTTTTTTTGATTCAAATCTATTATTGAATAAATTTTTTAAAAATTTGCTTATTATTTAAATAACATTACAAATTATATACATTTAAATATTTTATAAAATTTTGTAAAATAAGTAGAAAGAAAGAATTGAGAGAAAATTATTTAAAATTGATAATTTAAAAAAAAAATAAAATAACCTGTGTTAAAGTCATTTTAGTGAGTAATGCAAGCATAATTTTTTCCGCTTTTGTCGGATATGGATTTTTCCGATGCTCATTAAGCCATGATTTAAGTGGCGCAGTTGTTTCACGTGTTGCATTTTTGCGCCGCGTACCATCCAAACCACTAGCATATGGATGATATGGCATTGGATCGAAAAAATAACCGGAAACTGCCCGTACCGCACCAATCATTTCTGGTTTCATTTCCTGAAAATAACCAATAAAATTAAGTGAATTATTTAATTTTTTTTTTTTTTTTTAATTTCAATAATTATTCATCAATTTATTACTGATATATGTATGTAAAATTAATTACAAATGCTAGCTTTATTGCTTTTTTTTTTTATTCATTCCCTCTTTCTTTCTTTAAAAAAAGTTTTTTTTAAGAGGTAAATTATCCGAGAGGAAATGAGAGAAAGAGAAAGAAGTTAGAGAGAAAATTATTTTGTAAGAAATAAGCAAAAATGAATAATTTAAATTTTTTTCCCTTTTTTGAAGGTAATAATTAATACAAAAATGATATTTTCAATTTCTAAACAATTACATAATTGTATGGATGAAATGTTTGATATGCTTCAATAAAAAGGGAGAGAAAGAGAGAGAGAGAGAAAAAAAGAAAAAGAAAAAATGGGAGAGGAATAAATTTGTTATACAAAAATGAAAGCAGAGAAAGGGAGAGAGAGAGAGAGAAAAAAAAAGATTTTTCGTTTCTTTTATTTTCTTTTGAAAAATTATCATTACAACAAATCATCGTGTTTTTTCACTTATTTAATGCTTTTTCTTTTTCAATGATGAGCGAAATTGATTTCTGATTTAATTATGAATTCAATTAATATTGTTCTAACTGCTAAATAATTAAATTAATTTGATGAATTAGCAATCAATTAAACTGATTTTGTTAGCAAATGGAATAGTTTCTTCACTGAAAATTTTGATCACTGCATGTTATTATTATTATTGGTTATATTATTTTTAACAATTAGATTAATTATTAATGGAGGAAAAATATTATTAATTTTCAAATTCAAATGTGACTTTTGAAATTTTCGTCACATTTTTTTAGATCCTGAGGTCTCAACAAAATGACGCAGAAAGATAATAAATAACTGAGTAATTAAGTGCGACTAATAATTGTATTGACAATTGACATGTTAGAAATTAATAAATTGAGAAATGATGTTACAATTTTAAATATTTAAATATTCATTTCATTTGTTAATATAAATCACAGGCCAAGACTAACAATGTTTAAATGAATCATATTGTTACTTTTCTATCTTCAAAAATAATTTCCCTTTAAGGTAATGTTTGTAATTTGAAAAAAGAAATTTCCAAAATTAAAAAATAAAAAAAATTTGATTTTTTTGATTCATTCAATTTTTTTTATTTTAAAATTTCATATTTTATTCAGCAAGCATATTGTTATGAGCACGTTACTAACTAATATGGTCACAATTATTCTAATTTAAAAATATGGAATAGTAATAGTGATTAGTGATGGTAATAATGATGATTACAACAATGGTAATAGTGATGATAGTGGGAGTAATGATAATAGTAATGATGATGACGATGGTGGTGATGATAATGATTAGTGATAGTACTGGTATGATGGTGATAGTGATAATGATTAGTACGATAATGAGTGATGTTGATAGTAGCAAAAGTAATGATGATGACGATGGTAGCGATGGTAATAGTGATGGTGATTAAGGTGGAGGTGCATCATCATTATTCATTTGGAAGAGTTAATGACATTATCATTAGTCGAACATTTTAGACATAATGATTAAAAGACTTGCAAAAACTCTCTTCGGTACTTTGGAGGACGTTAACTGAAACACAAAATATTGTTGTTCCAACAAGTTATTAATTAAATAAAATGAAAAGAATGACAGCAAAAAAAAAAAAAAAAAAGGAAAAAAAAACGAAATAAAGGGAAAGGAAGAGAAGAAAAGAAAAATTCCGAATAAAGAGAGGGAAAAAAATCAATTTGGGCCAAACTTTGTATTAAATTATTTAATTCATCATTTATTCTTTTCAATTTAATTTTATGCTATTGTTGAAATTTTGTTTTTGCCTTCTTCTTTTCTGAATTTAAAAATAAATAAATAAAATGAGAATGAAAAAAAAAAAAAAAAACAAAATGATATACATAAAAGATATTAAAAATTGTATAAACTAGCATTTATAAAACTTTTTTAAAAAGAAACATTATAATTTCTTTGTCAAACAAATGGAAGGGAGAAAAGAGAAAGAGAGAGAGAGTGAAAAAGAAAGAAGAATATATGAAAAGTGAAATTATTTTACAATGTTATCAGTTATTTTATTTTTATTACAATTTTGATTCAAAATAATTTTTTTATTACTTGTTTTTATAAACAAGTAATTAGCAAAAAAAAAAAAACTTACTGCAGGATGTAAACCGGGATAAATGGCAGGAAAAGGAAGTGCACCTTGAGCCATAGCTGCCCTGAATGCAGCTTCATGTTCCATTGGATGCGGAAAACCGGCTAAACCACCGGGTGTCAGCAGTGGTCCACTGGCATTCAAAAATCTCGTCGTATCACCGCCACCACCACCCATTTCATCAGCATTATTACTACTTATTGAGGTTGCAACCGGAACATTACCAACTAATGTTGATGGTTGTTCCGTTTTAACCGGTGTAGACGGTTGTGAGGCAGCCAGCAACTGTAATAAATTGAAAATAACAATTCAAATATATACACAAATATTTTCTTTTTAAATATTATAAATTTTAATTTGAAATTCCTTAATAAAAATAAAATTTATAACTTAATTTAGAGCTCTTTTTTTTCTTCCTTTTTTTTCTAACCTTTAACCTTTTCCTTATCTTTCATCGTTTCCTTTTCTCATTGTTTGAAAAGCAAACATACGATTAAAATGTACAGAAGAAGAAGAAAAATGAAAACTTACTCGTAAAATATTTAGCATTTCAAGTTGATAAAAATTCGTTTCTTCTCTTTATCTATTAAATTTATTCAAAATTTTTCCTTTTTCCTTTTTTTTCTGATTAAAATAATAAATGAATAAAAATAGATGAAAAAAATAGAAGGAAATATTTGAAGTAGAAAATTAATCTGCTATAAATATGAATAACTTATTATGAACTTCTTATAATTAAATTAATTAAAAAGAATAAATCAATTTTAAATACAAAACAAAAACAAATACCAAAAGAAAAAAGGAAAATAGAAAAACGACGACAAAAAAAATATGAGTAAATAATTATTACTATTTCTATTTATATCACTACTATTGTTATAAATTAATTAACAAAATTTACTCCTACTCTTTTGTTCCACCTATTATTTTTACTACTTATTACTTTTACCTTTACTACTTACAAACTACTCATTATTACTAGTTAAAAACAGAAACACAACAGATTAACTGACTAAAACTAAGCTTTTCTATACAATATGGCATTATTTATATAGATATTTATGAACGAACAAAAAAAAAAAAAAAAAAAAAAGAAAAAAAAAGGAAGAAAGGAAGAGTTTCTTTGGAAAATGAATTTATGCCGAACAGAATGGATAGTTTTGGATAGTTAGATTGATGATAGGTATATATATATTGTTGTTGACACACCTGAGCATTGAATGCAGCTGCTGCCGCCGGATTGAATGCCATCCGCGATTTGCTGAAGTTGTTGTTTCTGTTTGATGATGATGGTGGTGATGTTGATGATAATGATGATGATGGTGTGATAATAATAGTAATAATGAGGTAATATCGAAGAAAATGATAAGAAATATTTGGGAGATATTATGCAGTTTATATTCAGTTAAATAATCGTCACCAATTGTTGCTGCTGTCACCAGCTGTTATTGATGCTACTGCTGTTGTTGTTGTTGTTATTGTTTTTGTTGTTGTTGCTGTCAGTAATATTGGTGTTGAATGCTATCAGTGAATTAAAATGATAGCAGATAATGATGATGGTAGTGATAGTGATAGTGTTGTTGAAGATAATATTGTTGAAGATAAGAAATGATAATAGAAAGCGAAAATGTTGCTATTGATAAGGTTAGCAGTAGTAGCAATGGCAACCAAATATATGATAATAAAAATTAATTTTCTGATAAAAAAGGTTTTTTCCTGAAATAAACCTGAAATTAAAAAAAAATATGACATTTGTAGCAATATTTTTTAAAAAAAATGGAGAAAAAAACGACGTTTTAACTTACAATATCAAATTAAATGTAAATAAATCATAAATAAGCAAAATAAACAAATAAATAAATAATAAATTTGCAAATATTATTAAACATATGATTGATATGATTCAACAATATTATTATTTCTACTATTTTATATAAAAGTTATTGTTGATTAAATTTCAAATATAATTTATCTGTTCGTTAAATAAAAGTTTTAAAAGAAAAAATTTTTATTTTATTTATTTTTTTATATATAAAAAATTAAAATACACCAAGAGATTTTTTTTTTTTTTTAAAAAAAAAAGGAATAATACTAATAATTATACATTTAACAAATTATTTGTATAAAATGTATGAAACATAATGAAACTATTTGTGTTTCTGTAATGTACTAATGTAACAAATGAAATTAATAATGTCTAACAAAAAGAAAAATTTCTTAAAATGAAAAAAAAAATGAAAAATAACGCAACAGCAATTTGTTTGATAAAAACATGATGTTCATCGACATGCTAACAGGTTTCTTGACGTTTGTACCCGATATATATATATGGTTGATTTTTAGTTGATAATAATGATTGAAAAAAAAAAAAAATGAGAGATGATGAACAAACTGGGTAAGATTGTCGGATGAGAAGAGAAAAGTGATCATTGTTGAATGTTGTGTAATTATTGAATTGCATTAAAAAAAAAAGTAACGAATTCAAAGTTGGAAATGATTAAATAAGTTGTTCAACTGTAAAGTACAAATATATTGTTAAATTTTTTTTTTTTTTTTTTTTTTTTTTTTTTTTTAGAGAGAATTAGTTTATTGATGAAAAAATTTGTTAGTAAATAATAAATATATATTGCCGCAATTATTATGCATTATTATTATTATTTTCATTGTTGGTAAATTGATTAATTTTTTTGAAATATATGACAAATTTCAATTTTTTTTTTTAACAAAATAAAGTAATGTCATTTTTCCATTTGTTTTTTTTTTTTTTTTTATAGCTCATATATTGTGTATTATAATAGCTATTTACTAAAGAATTGAAGGGAAATTAAAAATGGCTCAAATTTGCAATTGAAAATAGTGATAAAGTGGAGAGGATGATTAAACAATTGAATGACTAAATGAGTAAATATTTTATGATGATCATTTCAGACTTTAATGGTATTAGTTATAGAATTTGACTACTTTTGTTAGTAATTCAAAATAAATAATTAATTAGTGAATAGAATTAAAATGGTATTTGAAAAAATCTTCAAAAGATTAGGTAAGCAAAAAGAGATAAATCGTGTGAAATACACTTTGGCTATTTCTGACGAAACAAGATAAACAGAAACGTCTGAAGCTTTTAAATTAAACAAAAAAAAAAGTAATAATAATAACGCTTAACAAATTTGAACATTAAATTTTCTTTTTTTTTTTACTCATTTTTTTTTTTTTTTTTTTTGCTGAAATTATTAAATTCATACCTTCTAGTTTATTCTATTCACTTTTATACTTTTGTATATATTGATAAAATTTTATCTTTTTATCTATCATTATATTTATCTATACTTCTTAGCTGAAATTAATTCATTTTTAAATTTAATACTCATATATTTTATTATGATTCTCATTTATTCTTTTCCTATTTAATGATAATTAATTATACTTATATTGTTAACTAGGTTATCGTCTTTCTGTTCCGATCATGTAATATATGTCTTTGATACGTTAATAAAACGTGAAATGTAAAAATGTAAAAATTGTCATAGTTGCTGATCCAGTTGATCAGTATCAGTCGCTATGCCATCATCAATCAACACAACGAATCATTCATTTCTATCTGGTAATTGGATTTCTGCGCGCAATTTACCCGACTGTACCATCTAAATTGAAGCGGTAAATGTCAGTCAAATAAATGAACATAATTAAACGGTACAATATGAAGAGAATGAAGATAACAAGGAAGAATTAAACAAATTTATTAAAATTGTTGTTATTGTTATTATTACTTTTCTTTTTTTTTTTTTTAATAAAGAGTAAGGAAGCGGAAAAGATAACAAGAAAGGGAATAAAACAGAGAGAGAGAGAGAGGGGGAGAAATAAAAAAAAAGGAAAAAGAAAGATTGAAATGAAATGGTCGATAGTGATGAAAAAAAGATGGTGAATTTATAGCACTACAACCCGCAAAGATTGTCATCATACAACCACTGACTCACTAACTAACTAATTGACTGATTGACTGACTAACTGATTGACTGATTGACTGACTGACCGATTAACTAATCGACTGATTGAATGATTTGATGAGAATGTAAGAATATTGTCATTATGTTGTAACAACAATCAAGCATTATCAATGTAATATGCTTGATAAAGTTATGTTTAACAAATATGCGCTCGAATTTTTTTTTTTTATTTTTTTTTTTTAACAACAATCGAAATGAGATTAAAAAAAAAAAAAAAAAAAAAGAAAGGTTAAACGTATATAAGTATGGATAGTAAAATAATCCATAATGATGATATGATACGGAATGGAATGAATGCAAATTTGAGGACAGTTAAATAATAACAGTAATAATAATAATGATTATATCAATAGGGAAGAATGAAGGCAACTTTACAAAAGATTAATGATGATAATAATGTGGAATTGAATGGAAAATATAATCTTTATCAAGGTTAAATAATGATGCGAAATCGAATGAAGGTGAAATTTTTGAGAATTTTAATAAATAATGATGATAATAATATTGAAAGATAAAAATGAAAATAATTTTCTAATGAGACTGAATGTGATAATGATGATGACGCGGAACGAAACAAGGGCATAAACTTTTAGTGTGATTAGTAGTGATAATAATGCTACAAAATAGAATAAAAGAGTAATTTTTAAGGAAACTAATAATAAGTAGTAATAATAATGGCAATATATTAGTGATAAAAATAATAACAAAATGATAATAATGATAATGACGATGATAGTAATATTAATTATAATATAAATAATAATAGTAATAGTAATAAAACGGAATATTAGTTATTATAATAACAGCTGATAATAATAATAATAACTAACAATAATAGTTAATAACAATAATAACATTAATAATAATAATAGCTAACATAATTGTGGTATTAATAACAGTGGTATTAATAATAACTAATAACAATAATAATAAAATGATGATAATGATAATGACAATTATGATGATAATGATGATGATGATACGGAACGGAATGAAGAGAATTTTCTCGTATGAAGAGAAATGATTGTTTAGAAGTTGACGGATAGATGTAAGCGTGGCAAATGGTGTGGGTTTTGTTCGACAACACTCCCTCCCTCCCCTTTCCCCTACCCCTGTTGAATTGCTTGTCGAACACGTTGTTCACGAATGTTTCGAGATAGGTGGTCGATGGTTGGAGCTGGGCTGATCGGTAAGAAAATGAAGGTGGAGAAAGAGGGGAAAGGAAAAAGGGAGGGGAGAGGAGGGGACAAAAATGGTGAAGGGTATTCATCAATGGATAGTCAAGTCCCCTTTACCTCCCACTTCCCCTCTGTTCCCCGTCATTCGAATATTTGAGGCCAACCCATTTCAATAACTCCACCTATCATTATCTCTGCACCTTCACTGGGTAATATCAATTTACCCGCCCTCATTTGGGTTGGGCCTATTTGTTCAACAATTCCGCCTTATCCAAACTACTCGTTTTTCATCTTAACTCATATATCATATCAATATCCTAAAATTTTACCTATTAATCCATTAAGATAACTCTCTCTCTCTCTCTTTCTTTTAGAGGCAGAAGTTAGAGGGAAGGCGGAGTTTGACAGATGAACAGAGAGAAGGAGAGAGAGAGAGAGAAAGAATGAAAGCGAAAGAGCAAAAACTTGTTGTTATTGGATGTTTGATACGGTAGCTACCAAGTGCTAAGTATAATGTTCCCATTTTTACATTTTGTTTATGTCAACTTTACATGATAATAATAATAATTATAGTGAGTGTGACTAACACTGATAATATATTGATGATAGTGATAATATTATCATAGAAAATGAAAAATAACGTAATGGTGAAAATAAGTAATAACAATAATGATAATTGGAATAGTTATAAACTTTGATAATATTGATATGTGATCATGACGATGACAATGATAACAGTTAATATATTTTATCAGCAGTGATAGTGATGGTGACATAATTGTAATTATGAAAATAGCTGTTAGAATAAACTAATTGGTGATTAAATAATATTTTACTTAATAAAAAAATTTTGATTATGTACATAGTTTATAAATTAACATATATTTCAATCTTTTCTAGAGATATTATTTATAATGTCGCATTCGTAATTCCATTTATCATTATTATCCGAGTAGTAAGTTAATCAAAATTATTTTATTGATAATAATTACTAATTAATAATGTGATTAAAATTTCATTTCCTTCTTTCATTATTAAAAATTTCACTCATTTATGCGCTTTTATATCAAAAATAAAAATAAATGAAATTTGCTTAATAATTTTAAGTGTTTAAAATTATATATATAAATTCATGATAGAGAATGAGAACGAGAGAGTGAGTGAGAGAAAAAGAAAAAGTGGATGATTTACGTAATATGCGTACGTAAATACGTAAATCTATCAATACTATATCATTTATTGCCTATCAAAGTGTACATTCAATATTAAATTGAGAGAAATGAAATGTTTGTTTTAGAATGAAATAACTCTTTCTCCTTCTTTCCCTCTCTCTTTCTCTTTCTCCTTCTTTCCCTCTCTCTTTCTCTTTCTCTCTCTCTCCTGCTTCTTCTCTTCCTTTTGTCTACAATGAAATGATATATTCATTAATGATATACTTATACAATTATGTATTTTACATATAATATAATATGATATAACATAACATAATATAATATAATATAAAATAATATAATATATTATAATAAAATATGAAATAATATAATATAAAATAAAATAAAATAATATAAAATATCTGTAATAGAAGCAGTCCGAGACATATGTTCATTATATGTTTTTCGAAGCAGATGTTTTCACATTCCACATAGAACCATTAAAAAAAAAAAAAATCTTCCGTTGATTGATATGGCAGCTAAAATTATTTACACGAACTGATACATTACATACATACACATACAGATACACACATACACACATACATTTATATATATATTTACATATTTTAATATTGACTGAATAGATCAAAGCGGGGGAAGATGAGAGGAAGCCGAGAATGAGAACGAGAATAAAAAGAAAATTAACAAAATAAATAAATGAATAAAATGGATTGGATATTTTCATTTATTATTTCGAAATTAATTGGAAAAAAAAATTTTTTTTTTTATTTTTCTTATTTACATTTAAATAGCATAAACCATTTTTTTTTTTTTTTTTTTGGTTTTCATCATTAATTGTTATCATTTTTATTATTTATCATTTAAAATAAAAGAAAAAAAAAAGGTTTTTTCTTCCTTATTTTGTTTGTTTTTTTTTTTTTTTCTCGTACATAAATTTTATATAATATTGTTGACAATAAGTTTTATCATTGTTAATAATAAGCTTTGAATAAACTTATATTTACAATAGGTATATATAAACAAATGTGAAAGTTTTTACAAAAAAACTTATTGCTGATAATAAGTTTTATCATTGCTTGCTAATAATAAGCTTCGAATGAACATATATTTGTAATAAATACATATAAACATATAAGAAGATTTTTTTTTTTTTTTTAAAAAAAAAAAGGAAGAAAATAAAATATATAATAGTTTAAAGAGAAAAGGGAGAAAAAAAAAAAGAGGAATTTTAAATTGTAATTCTTAGCTTGAAATTTAATATCTAACTTTTTCACTCTTTCAACATTTTTCTCATTTTCATTTTTTTTATTTTATCTTCCTGGGAAATTTGTGATGATTTATGTTTACATTTTGCTATTAGTACTAGTCACTGTTATTATTATTATTATCATTACTACTACCACTGCTGCTTTAGCATTTCATGAAGAATATTAAAAAATTTTTTACGAATCATTATATTTTAACAGCAAAAAAGTGATATCGATTTAAAATTGTTAATAATATGAACGAAAATAAAAATGGAATTAGATGGGAATGAATTTTCTTCAAAAATTATATGCTTTAGAGAACAATTTTACATGAAAATTACATATAACGTGTAGGATTTTAAAAATAATTTATTATTTTGAATAGTTTTTTTTTTTTTTTCTTTTTCCTTTTTTCTTTCTTTTTTTTTTTTGCTTCTCTTTGGCACCCATTTTCGAAATATTTTTGCTTAAACCATAGAAAGAAAGAGATTTAGCGGATCATAAAAGGTGAAATTGGTTAGAAAAGTGAAATTTCATTGATTCATTCAATGATAGCATTTCAATTTTGCTAGGCACTTATTTGTTTATTCTAATTTAAATTTTTTTTTTTTTTTGTTTTTTTTGGGCAAATAAATTTTGAAGTTATTTGTGTATGAATGCATGAATATGAACTAAATAAATGTTATTTAGCCAAAAAAAAAAAAAACATGAAAACTTCCTTTTTTCGTTGCGTTGCAACATTGCTTAGAACCTTTTTTTTTGTATAATTGCAATTAACTAATTAATATCAATTAAAATTGGCATATTGATTCACTTTCTTAACTTTCTCAATTAATTTTGTTAATTCTTAAATATTTTTAATCAATTACCGTAATTATTTTGTATTTAATTTAAAGGGAATCTTTTTCTGTTCCTCATTTTAATGCATAAAATGATTGATATTGTTGATAAAACCTTTAGAATTTCGCATCTATCACTAGCTCGTAATTAGCAATTAATAGTACTAATAATAAAAGAATTAATGAAGTAATTACAATTACTAATATGCACTTAAAACTCAATCATTTTATGATATATTAAATTTAATTGAATAAAAACTATTTTAAAATATATACTTATAAAAAACAATTGTAACAAAATCGTATGTACTTCGTTATTTGCCATTTTATAAGAAAAATTCTATTAAAAAATATTAATACATAATGATATAATACGAATATATAAATGTTAAAGTGGAAAAAAGAATATTTGGATTGAAATGATTTGATAGAAATGATTAATCCAATCATTTAATTAAAAATTATTTTTCATCAGTTTTAGCTTACGCAACGATATAAAATTGTTGTTTCTAAAAATCTATTTTTTTTTTTAAGTTTCATAAACATTTGAAATTTATAGAAAAACAATTTTAGAATATGACAAAATGATTTAGTAATAATAATAACATATAAAATATGAATAAAAAGTATTATATAAAAATTTCATATATTTACCCTATGCATATGTTACTGTAAATTAAGAAAAATAGAAATGAAATGAACAAATGGTTATGGTAGGAAGGTAAGATTAAATATTAATAATTGTTATTTAAAATTCTCGTTTTTATCTAATATAATAATGAAATGAAATTTTTATTATGTATGCATATATTTATATTTTTAATATTTGTTAACTATTTTATTTTGTAACAATGCTATAGAAAGAAAATAGTAAATTAATTAATTAACAAAAAATTTGTTTAGAAATGAAAAAAGAAATTTTTTGAGAAAAATTATCTAATAACAAAGGTTATCTCATAGATTTATACAAATATTTGGAATAAATATTAAAGTTCAATTGCAGTTCATTATTTACATATACATATATGCATTCTATATAAAGTACACAAATTGAGAATTCAATTCATATTGTATTGTAAATGACATAAATTCCATCTCAAATATATTTTCCTTCCTTTTCATACCATTTAAAAAATTTTTTTGTCAACAAATGAAAAATTTTTCCATTTAAAACATTTAAGGGAGCAATAATATTTTGCAAAAAAAAAAATTCCTTTTAAAAATAAAATGTTTTTAGAAAAAAAAAAGAAGAAAAAGAAGATTGCATTGTAAAAAAGGATAAACTGATAAATGATAAATGGAATAAAATGATAATTAATAGTTGAATAATATGATAGAATGAGAAAATTGATATGGTTATAGATTAAATATTTAAGTAAATTAATGTTAGACTGTATGAATTAAGTAATAAAACTTAAGCATTAAATGGATAAATGAGAAAAAGCCAAAAACAAAAGGAAAAATTGTATCATTAAAAAAACAGAAAAAAAAAGTCAAAGATATGAGTAATACTAACATAAAAAAGGTAAATTAATCAGTAGGAACAAGTTGTGAATTTAAATTTTCTAGTAAAAAATTATTTAATATTTATGAAAAAAAAAAAAAAAATCATTACAAATATCTTAATTTAATAACAAATTGTATCAGAGGAAAAAAGTAATTTTACTAAATTTTGAAAAGATCTTAAAAATATATTTTCTCAATTCTTTTTTTTACAACTAATTTTTTGTTATTCTTCTTTTAGAGAAAAAAAAAAGTTGACTAAAAAATTTAATTGTATGATAAAAAATGACAATAAAATGCCTGAACATAATGAAAATGATAATAAAATGCTTGATAAACACAATGATAAAAGTAAACAAAATAAATTCTGAAAATTTTGAAAAACTTTATAAAAAATTCGTCAAAATTTAATCATATTTTGATCAAATGTTAATAACATGCATAAATATAAAATGCAATAAAATAAATTTGAACAATTTTTTACTCCAAAAAACGAAACTCTTCCTACTTTGAATGAAGCAACTATTATTGATGACCATTAATGTGACAATAAGTTGATATTTCATCACTTTATCCATCAATAGATGAGATATATAAAGTTTAGATTTGAAATCTCTCCTTACTTCAATTTTCATTGATGATTACAACTCTCTGATGTCTCAGCTAAAGAAGGT